CCACTGAAGGAGGAGCTGAGCGCTCTCAGAAAGCGGCCAGGTCTCTCGCCACGTCCTCCAAGGATCCACCAAAAAAAAAGGGAAGGGGCCTGGAGCCAGCAGCTCCCCTGCCTCGGTTTCCTCATCTGTCAAACTGAGAACTCCCAGTGTGAGCGCTCCCTGCAGGGCCCCAAGGAAGCAGGAAGCCGCCAGGTTCTGGAGAGGCCGTGGGAAAATCTGAGGCTCAGAGAGGGTAAGCGGCTGGCTGGAGGTCACACAGCTCATCAGGAGGGAAACAGAGATCCATGCCAAGCCCACCGTGTGTCCACTGAGGTCCAAAAGGTACTCCACGGGGCACGAGGGACGCTTCGACAGGTTCATGACCCCCCACAGCGGGGCAGAAGGGTTCTCATGTCCTAAGTCCCTCACCCATGTGGCCCTGCCTGTGTCCTGGGGCACATCCGATCCAACTGCAGAGCCACCCCCAGGCTCTGATGTCACCGGGCCAGCAGCCCCGGGCACAGCTGGCCCCATCCACTCAAGAGCCACACGAGCCTCCATCTCCCCAGTACCCAGGTGGCAGGACGGGCGCCCAGGACCGGGGGCTGTGACCCTCTGAGGTCACAGCATGACTAGCAACGCGAGGCCCAGGGGACACAGCGACTCAGCCTCCCGCCAGGCTGCGCTGAGCCTGTTTTGTATTTCAGTTAGACACAAGGTCTCCCTGAGCTGCTTAGGGCTTTGCTGTGGCTGAGGCTGGCCTCTACCTCGAGATCCTCCTGCCTCAGCCTCCCAAGCTGCTGGGATCAGAGGCGTGCGCCACCAGGCCCAGCAGATTAACCCAAGAGAGCCGGGTCCCCTGGTGGGTGGCAGGCTCTGGGGCACCCAGCTTGACTGAACCCCAACACCCACCCACCCAGAGAATGTATGGTGGTTCCCCCAGCTCCTCAGGCCTCCCTGGTAGCATGAGTGCGTGCTGATTGGCGGGTTCGGGGCCCCACCCCAGAGCCACAGGGCAGCCCCTGCGCGGCCAGGTCTCTGAAGTCACCCTGCTCCTCCAGCACCAGCCTGTGGGGGGGCAGCGGGCACTGCCCTTGGCCTGCTCTTGGCCTGGCCTCTGGTGGAGGCCGGGCCGGGGCGGAGTGCTGTCTCAGCAGACACTGGATCTCAGGGCGCAGCGGGGAGGGGGCCGCGCAGGCCCGCCCTGCCCCCCTGGAGGTCACCCTGCACCTTTGGAATCCAGCCGCAGTGTCCCCAGGCCCCAAGCTCCCAAACAGACAAGTCCTGAAGGTCCCCTTGTGGAATGGCCTTGGCACAGAGAATGCGGGAGGGGTCAGGGTGACCCGATGGCCCGTGCCCGGAGACCAGAGGGAGCCCAGAGGGGAGATGGGGCCTTCAGAAGGACCCCAGGCTAAGGTCAGCCCTCGAGGTCACTCAGCCTGGCCCAGAGTGACGTCCCCACACCACTCCTCCACCAGCACGAGTGGCAGCAGAGGGCTCAGGACAGAGCTGGGCAGAGTCCCATTGTCCCTGAACAAGTCCCTTAATCTGACTGAGCCTGGGGTCACCCGCAGGAAAGTGTGATGGTTCCACCTGGCTCTGGTGGCCCACGCCTGTCATCCCAGTGGCTCGGGAGGCTGAGGCAGGAGGATGGCAAGGTGGAGGCCAGCCTCAGCCACTCGGCGCCGTCCTTGTGCTTGGGATGGGGCGTTCACCGGCCTCCGGCCACCATCCCCCGCAGCAGTCCCCAGCCTACCTTGCGGATGCGGCCGCTGCGCGTCCCGGCGAACACCACGGTGCGGCCCCGGTAGTCGTAGGCAGCCACAGCGGTCAGTCCGTCGTCCTTGTCCACAAACAGGGGCGTGCCCTCGATGGTGACCGTGCCCCCCAGGGGCTGGTTGAAGTCCTGTCCGCAGAAGTCGTCGTCGATCTGCAGGGGCTGCAGGGAAGGACAGGTGAGCCCCCAGAGGGCCCCGATGCGAGGGGCTGCAGGCCCATTTCACAGACGGGAAAATAGAGGCCCAGGCTGTGGGCACGCCTCCCGGGCCCAGCCACCCGCTGGCCCTGCGCCTGACTCTGGGTCCCTGGGGAAGGAAGGACGGGTGACCAGTGTAGCAGGTGGCCTCAGAGATCTGGCCAGCGATGGACAGGAGAGGAGGGCACAGGTGGGGACGGGTGACAGCACAGTCCCTCCTCTGCCCAGGTGTGGCCCTGGCCACCAGAGGGGACGTGCAGACAGACAGGATCCAGTTCAGAGGGGACAGCCCGTGGCATCCAAAGGCAAAGGGAGGGGCCGGCTGTGCGTGCAGGAGATGGCCGGGAGACAGCTGGGGGACTGTCCCACTGCGAAGCCGAGGAGGAGAGACAGGGCACAGGGAGAGGAAAGAGGATGGGACAGGCCACTGACATGGCCAGGCCAGGGCTGGGGGCGCCTGGGAACCACCCCAGGCACACAGGACGCCTCCCGGCTCTGGGGACAGGGCACGGGGCAGCCAGGGTGAAGCACCCCCTCTGGGCGTCCGTGTCCCCACTCCTTCCTCAAAAGGCCCCGGGGAGGGGACAACCGTATCCACCAAAGGCACTCAGAACCCCGGCCACACACGCCACCCCGCTGCGCCCCAAGAAGAGCCAGTGCCTGTCCTGGTGGGGACCCTGGAGGACGGAAACCAGAGAGGGACAGGTTTTCCTGGGCCACCTAGCAGGTCCCGGGCAGCGGTGGCAGAGGGCTCAGGGCAGAGCTGGGCAGAGTCCCACTTCCCCTGAACGAGTCCCTTGGTCTGACTGAGCCTGTCCTCCCAGCAGCTCTGGAGGCTGAGGCAGGAGGATCGCAAGGTGGAGGCCAGCCTCAGCAACAGCGAGGCCCTGAGCCACTCAGCGAGACCCTGTCTCTCAATAAAATATAAAAAGGGCTAGGGATGGGGCTCAGGGGTTGAGCGCCCCTGGGTTCAATCCCTGGGACCAAAAAAAAAATGACTTTAATGGTTCCCTCGAGGTGAGCGCGGGAACATGGAGGAGAGCCGAGGCCTGGCCCCCATCAGTAAGTGCTGGAGGCTGCAGCCCAGCACAGGGGAGGCCCAGCTGGGGCAGCATCAGGCCCACTGTCTCTGGTGGCACAACCACAGCCTGTTGGGGACTGTCATCTGGCAGGAGGGCCCAGGAGAGAGGCGCACAGCCAGGAAAACATGAGGGAGAGATAAAGGCTCTGGAGATGGCGCCCACTGGGGTGAGGCCCAGTGCTGCCTCTTGGGACCAGAGTCACGTCCATACATCTCCTTGAGCCTCAGCCCCCGTGTCTGAAAACCAGGGACAGGAGCCAGCTGGCCAGCACCCCACATGGGGCCAAGCACGCTGTGGATATGACCCATCCAATGTCCCCGGGGGCTTGTGGGCCATTTGGGCAGGGTGCTTGTTACCCCATCTCCCCAGCGCCTGGCAGGGCACTGTCATGGCTAGAAAGAGGATCTGGGGGTCAGCATGACCCCCTGCCACACAGGACAGCAGCAGCCCTTGCCTCACAGGGCTGAGCTCCCTGGTGGCCAAGAGCAGGGCCTGGACACAGCAGGAGCCATCCTGGTATGTGGACAAGAACTGGACGCGGGGGGGCGCACGCCTGTCATCCCCAGGGGCTCTGGAGGCTGAGGCAGGAGGATCGCAAGGTGGAGGCCAGCCTCAGCCACTGAGCCACTCAGCGAGACCCTGTCTCTGAATAAAATGTAAAAAGGGCTGGGGCCGGGGCTCAGGGGTGAAGCGCCCCTGGGGTCCATCCCTGGGGGGCGGGGCCGGGCCCTGGTCAAGGTCACGTCCAGTCCAGCCGCTGCGCACTCACCGAGTTGATGCAGCCCAGCTCCTTGTTGAGCAACCAGGGCAGCGACAGCTTGCCCTCCCCGCGGTAGCAGGACTGGATGCGCTCCTTGATCTTCTCCTTGATGGCGCGCAGCGTGAAGAGGCAGAGCGCGGACTCCTTGGGGGGCTTGACCCGGTTCTTCTGGCCCTGGGCGAACACGGTGAACAGCACGTCCTCGCGGCCGGGCCGGCTCAGGTAGGCGTCCTGCACCAGGCGGTACTCGACGCCCGCCTGCTGGCAGCCGATGGGGAACTCGACGTACGAGTAGAACTTGGGGTCGTCGACGCACAGGCGCACGATCTTGGAGGTGAAGAAGTGCTCGCCGGCCGCGTCGGGGGACGTGAGCTGGGTGTCCAGCTGCAGCGTGAGGTAGTACACGAACTGCTCGCTGCGAAAGCTGTACACGTAGTAGATGTCAAAGGCGGGGAACTTGGACAGGGTGTCCGACGGGATCTTGAGCTGCGATGACACGAACTCATCCTGGTACACGAAGCCGAACATGTCCGCGTCCTCCTCGTTGGCCATGAGCCGCCGGCTTGACAGCGTGGGAAAGTACTCGGATTTGCCGTCAATGGGGGTCCCCACGAACAGCTTGGCCTGGCCCTGGCCGGGGGTCCCCGCGATCAGCACCCCGGCCATGCTGCCGGCCTCGCGCACGCTCGACAGGTAGTGCTCCTTGCGGTGGTGAGGCTCGCCCAGCTTGAAGAGGTCGTCCAGGCGCAGGAACTGGCAGATGCCCTGCGACGCGCTGCCACACGCCAGCAAGCGGTTGGCGGCATAGTCCAGCAACAGCAGCTTGTTCACGTTGTCCGTGCTGCCCAGGCCGTGCGGGCACGACTGCACGCTGGGCGGCGGGTAGCACTTCTCGTTGTCCTCCACGGGGCCCGTCACGTGCGCCCGCAGCAGGGTCAGGTTCCCCGACAGCTTGTAGATGCGGTTCACCGCGCCCACGTACACCTCGCCCGTCTGCTCGTGCACCACCAGGTGGGTGAGGCCCCAGTCGCTGGCCACGAAGGTGCGGAAGGCAGGTGGCGGGGTCCCGTCCGTCCTGGGCGAGCCTGCAGCCACCCAAAGGCCCCCTAACAGCAGCAGGGGCAGCAGCATGGAGAGCGCCTGCGGGCGCAGAGGTGGCAGCGGCATGGCGCGCCCGGGCCTTGGGCCTCGGTGCTCAGGTCCTGCAGGGGCGAGCATCACGGGGCCGGGAGCTGCAGCCCTGGGGGAGAAGGGGCAGGAGAAGGCCGGTGAGCATGAGCGCAGCACGCGCGCAAAGAGCGCGCACGTCCTGTCCAGCGCGTGCGCATCCTGCGCAGACTCCGCGCACGCGCATCCTGTGGACCCCTTCACCGCACTCCAAGAGGAAGGGCCGCTCCTCCCGGCAGAGAGCCAGAAGCTAGGAGACGTCACCCTCCTGGCCTGGGCGCAGACTGCCCGCAAAGCACGCAGGTCCTGTCCAGGGCGCGCGCATCCTGCGCGGACCCCTTCACCGCACTCCAGGAGGAAGGGCTGCTCTTCCCGGCAGAGAGCCAGAAGCTAGGAGAGGTCACCCTCCTGGCATATGGGCGCAGAGAGCGCGCAAAGCACGCACGTCCTGTCCAGCGCGCGCGCATCCTGCGTAGACTTCCCACGCACATCCTGCGCGAACCCCTCTACCACACTCCGGGAGGAAGGGCCTCTCCTCCCTGCAGGGAGCCAGAAGCTAAGAGAGATCACCCTCCTGGCCGGGGCCCTGCAGGCAGCCAGGGGTGAGCCAGGTGTCACGGAGACCAAGCAGTGGTTACCACAAGCAGCACAGGACACCTGCTTGCGCCAATTCCATGCCTGTGCCCTGCCACTGCTGGCAGAGGGGAACCACCCCTGGGGGTGACAAGGGCCTGGGGTCTAGACTGGAGTCACCGCTGACATTCCAAGTTGAACAGGATTCCTCTGACTCAGAGCCTGGCTACGCCCCAGGGAGACAGACCCCTGGCCAAGCTCCTCATTCCCAGTGACACTTCCCTGGCTGGGGCTGTGGGGGACACGCACCACTGTTGTCCTGTAAAAGCTGGACACAGGTGGGCTTCCGAGCTCATTCCCAGATCCACATCCAGGCCCCCTTGAGTCCCCACCCAAACACAGGGCTGCCCCCGGGGTAAGTGCACCTTCAAGATGTGTCCCCAAAGCCTGCTCTCACAGGTCCCCCTGAGGGCAGCCTGGTTCCATCCCACAGGCCTCTACTGGGTGCCCGCGGGGAACGTGCCCCGTAAATACAGAACCCACCTCCTGACGCAGTACCAGGGTGGGCGCAGCACGGGGCCAGGGCCTGTGCCCAGCACGCACCAAGCACGCACACGAGGTCACCATCCCCCAAACCTGGGCGTGACTGTCGGATCCTGCCGTGGCACCCCGCTGACTTGGGGAGCCACCTCCTCCCAGCACGGGCGCTGGCGCCCAGGCACTGGGTCCAAGCCGGACTCTCAGGACGCGCCCCTTCCCCAGCCTCAGTTTACCCACCTGTAAAGGGGGTGACACCGTGCCTCACCTGGATGAGAGGAAGAGGATGGCCTGCCCATGTGCTGGGGGCCTCTCCCCACTCCTGGCTGAACCCCCCCGAGGCTGCAGATACCTTCCTCCTGACTCCTGGCCAATGCCCTCCCTGCGGCTGGGCAGCCCCATTTCTCAGGTGGAACAACTGAGGCCTAAAGATGTCGTCTGCGGCCACAGTCCAGCCAGCTCCTGGGCCTCCGTGTCCGCACCTAGAGTGCCCTGCTCGGGTGTCACCGGAGACATCTCCCATGAACTGCTCCCTGAAGGCACCCGCTCACAGTGCCCAGTGCCCTGTTTTAGTCTGTGGTTTTTTGTTACCTATTGTTCCCAGACACTGCCCCTGACAGAATGGCAGCTCTGACACAGGAGGGCCTGGCTAGGTGTGGTTCGCCACTATCTCCCCAAAGCCAAGCCCGGTGCATGCCTCTAATCCCTGCACAGGCTCAGGAGGCCGAGGCAGGAGGATCAAAAGTTGGAGGCCAGCCTCGGCAACACATCAAGGCCCTGAGCAACTCAGCGAGACCCTGTTTCTCCATAAAATCCAAAAAGGGCTGGGGATGGGGCTCAGGGCTTAAGTGCCCCTGGGTTCAAGCCTCAGTATAATAATAATAATAATAAAAAAATTCATGAGTATTGTCTGCCTCTCTCCTCCTGCCCCCACCCTCTGTCCAGTGCCCATCTGCTGCTCAGCTGTGGAAACTGAGGCTCAGGGCAGCAAAGCGCTTTGGCTCGACTCTCAGAGCAGAAGCCCGTCTGGGCTCCCCCCAGCAGGCTGTTGGTTGCCTTTCCTGGTCATGGACATCACACCCCCAGCTCAGCAGCCGGGAGAGGATCCTCTACCGCCCCCACTAGAGGCCAGAGGCGGACCTGGGAGCCAGGAGACAGGTTCCCTGCCCGGGCAGCAGCGGGCCTGGGCTGACAGCTGAGCGCATTGCAAAGAAAACATGAATCACTCACCGTTTATCAGTTCAAAGCAGCCCTGCAATTACCAGGGGCCGGGCTGTCCCCTCCTCTGGGATAATTATACACGTCTTAATGCAATTATGGGCTCTACTTTTTATATTAAACAGGAGGGACCCGGTTGAAGAAGCCACCATCCCAACTCCAGCCTGGCCCAGGGCCCACTCTGTCTCCTCCCAAGGAAAGAACTGGCCTGGGGCGGGGGGCACCCGATTGCCAGCCAGGGAAAGGGATCCCAGGCCGATGCTGGCTCCCTCACACCCACCGTCTAACAAAGGCCACGCAGGACCAGGCTGGGGCTACTTTTTCTGCCTTAGAGATACAGGACTCAGGGCTCAGACAGACCCAAGGTCACCCAGCTAGTCCCAGCAAAGTAGGGGCCAGATCCAGAGCTTCTGCAGACAGCCCCTGGGGTACCTAGGAAATCTGCAGAGGCGCGATTGCCCCAGGCCTGGGGTGTGCCCAGGAAAAAGTACCCAAAGGTGCGCTTGGGCGCAGGGAAGACCCGCAGATGCTGTTCTCCACGGAGAAGGGAGGGATGCTGGCCAGCCACTGTGGCCTGCAGAGGATGCCCTAGGGGGTCTCACTGGGAGGACCAGGCATACTGGGCACACTGGTGGGGGACGAGGGGCGATTCTGTGGCGCAGGGCAGCAGGAGGAGAGACCTGGCACCGGAATGTGCTGGACATGCAGATGGGGTCGGTGCCAGGCTGAGTCAGAGCCAGGCCAGGAGGGCAGAGCGGGTGTTGGGTGTACCGAACGGGGCCAGCCACCCAGAGGAGCCAAGCTACAGGCAGGTGCAGCGCTGTGACCCGGGGGGACTCCACGCCCGGACTGCATGGGACCGGCGCTTCAGTGGGGCATGCAGATCCGTGTCCCCTTCCCCCTCCCAGACCTGATGACACCACGGCTCCTCTTTTGCCCCAAGAAACAAAGACCTCAGAAGAATGACAACCGATACCGTCCCACTCTGGATCCTTCCGGGGCTTGGACAGGTGGGGAGGGACGTGGGGGGACATGGAAGACAATCACACGGTGCCCAGAGGTATTTCCAGCGGCATCCAGAAAGGGGGCTGCCCTGGTCACCCCCACCTCCCCCCATCGGAGGACACAGAAGGTGGTTCCAAGTGGCGCTGATCCCCATCAGCCCTACGGGACCAGGCAGGACCTGGAGACACCTTGCTGTTCTGCTCTCGGAAAAAGTGCCAGCTGCTGGCGATTGGCTTTGGGGGTGCCCTCTCCTCTGCCCAGCTGCTCTGACATGCTCCAGACATGAGCATCTTCCTGGGGGGGGCACCAAACAGGCAGGCCACGACCTAGGGGCCCAGCAGTCCAGCACAGGGGACATGCCACGTTCACCGCCACCCCGAGAGCACCCAGCTGAGCCACACAGGGCTTGCAAGACCCCAGCCTCCGCCCCGGCCTGTCCCCCCTCTCTGACCGCAATGCCTTTCCAGGGTCCCAGGTGCCCGGACGCCTGACCCTGAAGCAGACTCTGCCAGGGTTGGCCTCTCTGCCTGGGGCATGCACGGGACTGGGGACCTCCATCAGGGCCAGGCAGAACCGGGGCACACCTAGCTCTGTCCCGTTCCTCTCCCGCACACCCCAAACCAGTGGGGAGGCAGGGGGCCTGGGGCATGCTCCCCAAGGACCCCCCTGGGAGCAACCATGAGCCCCACCCCACCCGGACTGGGATGAGGAGGTGAGCCAGCACCGCAGCCCGCGGCAGGAGCGGGACTGAGGGGACAGAGGCTCGGCCACGTCCCATCCCCCCCCACACACCCCTTTCTTTCAAGGGGCGTGGCCCCAGCACCCCACAGGCACGCAAAGGTAGCTCAGGGCACCAAGCAGCCCCTGTCACCCTCCATCCCGGGCTGCAGCCGGGATCTCACCAGGGGCACCGGGGCCTCCCTGGAGTCCCCTGCTCCCGCTTCCTGGAGGCAGCCCCGGATCAGCCGGTCGCCGCCACCAGCTACGTTGCACACCAGGCCCGGGACGGTCCAGGAAGCCATGGAAGGCCTCCGAAGGGAGCGAAATGACCCTGGGGAGGCCCTGCAGGGGGG